GGAAGCTATGGAAGAGGAGATGCACTCTCTTCAGAAGAACGACACCTGAGAGCTTGCAAAGCTACCGAATGGTAAGAAAACTATTGGATGCAAGTGGTTATATGCAAAAAAAAAAGGGATTTTCTAATGGGGACATTTGGTACAAAGCTAGATTGGTTGCCAAAGAGTATGCCCAGCTTGAGGGCATATATTATAGCAAAGTATTCTCACCGATCGTGAAGCATTCGTCGATAAGGATACTATTAGCATTAGTGGCACAACTGGAATTGGAATTGGATTTGGTCCAGATGGATGTGAAGACATCCTTTCTACATGGAGACTTAGAAGAGGAGATCTATATGACACAACATATGGGTTTTAGAGTTGCAGGCAAAGAAGATTTGGTGTGCAAACTAAAAAAGTCTCTTTGTGGATTGATGCAATCGCCATGAAAATGGTACAAGAAATTCTACAGTTTTCTGATTGGCCAAGGGTACACAAGAAACCCATATGACCCGTGTGTTTACATTTATAAGTTACAGGATAGTGAGTATATTTATTTATCATTGTATGTTGACGATATGCTCATTACTTCCTAGAATACTTCAGCTATTAGAAAGTTAAAAAATGACCTGTCATCCGAATTTGAGATGAAGGATCTTGGAGAAGCAAAGAAGATATTAGGTATGGAGATTGTGAAGTGGATTCTACGCTAAATCAAAGGTACCATGGATGTTGATTTGGTGTTTCAGAAGAATGAGAAGATTGGGCAGGATTGTGTTGGATATGTGTATTTAGACTATGCGGAGGATCTTGACAAACATCGGTCTACTACAGGATATGTATTTACATTGACATGAATACCAGTATGTTGGAGATGTACACTTCAGTTTACAATGACTCTTTCAACTATGGAGACAGAGTATATGGTGTTGACTGAAGCTATAAAGGAAGGTTTGTGGTTGTATGGGTTATTGGATGACTTGGGGATTGCACAGGATGCTATCAGGGTAAAATGTGATAGCATGTCAGCTATCTATTTGGCAAAAAACTAGGTGTATCATGACCGAACAAAGCACATTGATGTCAGGTTCTATTTTATTCGAGATGTCTTGGATGATGAAGACATTATATTAGAGAAGATCCACACAAAGCACTATCCGACGGATATGTTGACCAAAGTTGTCACTGGGATAAAATTTGATCATTGTTTGGAGTTGTAAACATTCTTCATTGTTGAGGGTCTTTGTAGGCCATTTGGGTGAACTATGTGAGGCTTGATTCCTTGGGCAAGAGGATACATAGGCAGTTAGTTTGATGCAGTCATTTGGGTTCCTGACTTGTTGTGGATTTAGTCCGTTGTTTTGGATTGATTTCAATTTGTACTGGAGGCAACAAGTGAGACGGTTGGTATTGAGGTCGGCTCATGTATGGGAAAATTCACCAAGGTGGAGAATTGTAGAAACGGCAACGACGGCGACAAAGTTTAGAAAAAACAAAGCAGACAGGCACTTGGGTGCTGTCCGGTCGACTGCGGAGTTTGGCCGGTCGACCAAAAACGTGCACACTACAGGGTGCATTTTTGGATCTTTGGCCGGTCGACTGTGATGCTAGGCCTGGTCGACCACAAACCCTGTAATTGCCAAGCTGAGTTTTGAGCCCTCTGGTCGGTCGACCGTGAGGTAAATGGCGGTCGACGCGACTCGGATATGGGTCTGGGCTTGATTTCCTGATCTGTTTGGGATTGGTGTTTGATATAAATACAAACACGATTTGTTTAGAGTTTCTATCTCTGAAAAAAACACAGAAGAGAGGCTTTTGATCTATGTGATTGGGAGATTTGGTGAGAGATTTGAGAGCTTTGTTTGAGAGATTAATTTGTGAGTTTTGAGTGAATTTGTAATCTTTATTTGTATTCTCTCTCTAATAGTAAAATTCATCCCCTCCTTGCCCTGTGAACGTATGCAACTTGCCATACCATGTAAAATCTGTGTCTTGTATTGTTTGGTTCTTATTTTACATATTGGTTGTGATTCTATCTCAGTTTGGTTGTGTTCTTTTAGGATTCTGTTGTGCACAACAATCGACACACCACATCAAATGCTCTCCAGTATCGAATTCTATCCACTGTGCATCAAGAATCCTCCAATAGCAGGATAGGACAATACCACCAGTTGATCACACCAATCTGCTAATAAGCTTCTCCCTTTTGTCTCCACCAAGAACTCTTCGGGCATAACTGCATTCTCACCCATAACCAAGTCGGGTTGGATCACCCAAAAATTGCGTACCCATTTTTCGCCAATCCCCATGCGAAGTGAGAAGTCTACCTGTTTTTCATTAGGCATGATCGTTATGCCCCTGGAATTGACATATACAACTGCGCCATTCCTTTTATCATCAAGCCAACCAATGCAAGTTGTGTCATGCTTCCAAAGACTTAGGCTTAAAGAAATGATTAGACTGTTAGCTGGCAATCGGTTAGTTAGCAAGAAGAGAGGACCAATTGTGTAGATTAGAGGGAGGATTGAAGGCATTTCTTTGAGGACTGAACATTCTAATTCTTCGAAAGTGTTGAGTACAATAGCAGTGCCTCTCGATGCTCTACTTGCTTCACGGTAAAAGAAGTTGAGCATTATGTCATTTTGGTCAGTAGTCTAAATGAAGCTGGCGAAGATTCATCTGAGGAATATCGTCAACGGGAGTGTCAAGATATCCATTAGTCATATCTGTTATATCTACATATAGGCTGTTGGATATAATCGTGATTAATTCATAGAGATTAAACACAAGAGCAGAAGCAATACCTGAATCTATAACGATTTGAGTACGGATATGAATTAGGGTTGATCTTCTCTATGAAAGGTTTCTCTTTTGAGAATTCTCTTTAGGTGGAGATTAGAGAATAAAGAACATAACCTTTAGATTAGGGACCATAACCCCTTTATATAGATTTGTAATTTTCTAATTTAGCACCTCATAAAATTAGAATTGTAGTCCGGTATCTGCACAATTAGCCCATGACATATTTAAATACCCATTGACCTAATTACCAGATTGATCACTTTATGCGGGTTTGTAAGCATCTAAAAATGCCTATAGGTTCCCGCACGCAGCTCGAGACAGAGAGAAGACGATGAACGTCACTATCCGTGAAGAAGCTTACTTGTCGTCGACAAGCGCATGAAGTGAGTCGACGAACCGTGTGAAGCAACGTAACTTCAGAATAACGAAAACATGAACTGATCAGGAGCTACGCGTCACTTCAGAAAGACGAAGCGCCCATCATGCCTCGTCTACTCCATATGTGATTCAATCATGAGAGCTTATAGATCTCCTCATCGGCTTTCCTACGTATTTGAATCACGTGATTCCGATTTCAGATGACAAAAATACGGCAAAAATGAACGGGACGCACAAAACAAGGCCCAGAGCCAAAACCAAGACACCCCTTGGTGTCTCGGCTTGGCCGAGACACCCAAAGGTGTCTCGGCCACTGCCGAGACACCGCGGGCGTCCGCAGCTCCGAAAACCTATTTTTGGTTATTTTGAGCCGTTTTTCGAGCGTTAACCACCTGGATTTGTTTCAACTGATAAAATATTATCCAAGAACGTCGTTAAGTGGTTATAACTAAAGATAAGAGTGAATTGATCGTTCTTATCCGAAAACATAGATCCCAAAGCCTATAAATACAGCCCCAGTGCCTTCATTTTTTCAGATCTGGAATTCTCGAGCGTCGGCGAAGCCCTGCTAAATTAAAGACTGAAGGAGCACGAATTTCAGAAGAGAGGAGGAGATCGGATCGAGTTCTTCAGTACAGAGAAGAAGAGTTCGTCAGATCTACAGTTTCTGGTTCTTTTCCTTGAGATTGCTCTGTTGCGGTGATCTTGAGAAGAGTGATTATCTTGCTATTGTCGAGATAATTGCTTTAGTTTCTTGATTCCTTTACGAATCAACGAAGCTTTGGATCTGATCTGATCATTTGGTGGTCTACGGATATCAACGTCCCCGTCACAGACCAAGATCTCACGCAAGCAGTGGAAGATAAACATCTGTTTCGTTTGTTTGAAAGAAAGTTATAATTTTTGTGAAAGTCTTATAAAAAGACTGTTTCTTTGAGTTTGTTGTAAATGTTTGAAGTTATAAATGAACTCATCAATGGAATCGACGTTCTCTCCAAACAAGCTAGCAACCACAGTGGGAACCAATAGCTTCGTAGCTGAAGCTGTCGTGCCACAACCAGCGATCAAGATCCTGGTGAACGAAGAGGTCGAATACGAATTCGACCAGTAGAAATTCGAAGAGTATATCTCTTCTTCCTCCTCCAGATCTTCCTCTCCTCGCAAGCGCAGGAAGGCTTCCTCTTTCGGAAAAGCTCACTGGACTTGGGATCAAAGATCCAAGATCCTCTCGCCGCCGCTACACTTACACCTCGTGACGCCCCTCCAACGTCCGACGAGGTTGAAGCTGTAGATCTGGGCCTCCCCTCCATCAAAAGTTTAGCTGTTGAGGGCGCGCGGATTCTGTCAAAGGTAGCGCACCAAAGGCAATACCAACGTCTTGCGCGTCAACTTGCTAAGGATTTGGAGCCAATAGATGGGATCCGCTATGATGTGGATCTGAAATCCAGGAAGCGCCAAGAACAACAACGGTGATCGAACAACCCCTCATTTAAAGCAAAGAAGAATGAATGGGTCCACGTCGAAAGGACCCGCTCTACCCTTGAGGAGCGAATCCAGAAGCGCTGTGCATTGCTTACGAAAGCCTGAATCCTTGTGCAAGAAGCACAAGAAATGCAGAAGGAAGAGGCAGTCAGAAAAATTGCCCAAGCAGAAACGGGTTTGGATGCCAAAGGTCAAATCAGTGCCTAAGGCAAAAGTAGATGAAGTTACCATTCAACCTTCATCAACTTCAGATCCCACTCCCCTTGGTAGTATGGACCTCACCAAATTCAGAATTCCTCTGAAAGACCGGCTTGGTCCTCTCCCCGAAGATCGAGATAAAGCACCTGTTAAAGAGCGACTAGGACCATTGAAAGGTTCCCAAACAACCATTCAGTTCGGGGATCGTACTAATCCCCCTAATAATAATAATAAAGGGAAAGCTCTTATGACTGGCCGCATCGGATTGCGAGTCAAAGTTCAAGAGCCCGTTAGAGTTTCACGCTCATGAAGGAGTAAATCTGAACGAGTGACTCTTGAAGATGCTAATGAAGCATCGTATCCCCAAAGGAAAACGTGTTCGTCTGATGATGATGTTATACCTGAGAAGTCGTGCCAACACATGATGGGTTGCTCTGGTCATCAGGCCAATGAGTTATACTATCAGGCTAGGGGTACGAATAAGTCTCGGAAGAGAAATGCCCGAGAAATGGACTCTTACTGTTTGTGTGTGAAAATCATCAAGGCAGTTTTGTCAGAATGTAACTGGCATGAAATCGCTCCCCGGAGGGTCTCTGTATTTGAACGAATCTCTATTGAAACGTCCGAACTAAAGACGAAATGTTTTTGTAGAAGAAGGTCAACCGGCCTAGGTAATAAGCTCCCACGAGTTACTATCAACATGACCGACAAAGGCAAATCAGTGCGACTCTTCAATCCCAAACCTTTTGCAGAAATATCCCAGCGCATGACTTGGTTGCGGTCTGAAACTGTTAGAACTAGACCCAGGAGGGCACGGTCCTCGGATGACGAAATGTCAGATGCTTGCTCTGTGTTGGCCTCTGACGATACAGCGTCCAGTGCAGGGTAATCTTATGAATCATTCATGATTAATGCTGAGGAAATAGCTAAAATTCTCTAGGATGCTTTAGCCAAGAAGAAAGAGAATTTTAAATTCAAGATAGAAATGACCATGCAGGAGATGAGGGATATGCATAGTCAATAAATTGCGGTGCTGACAAATCATCAAGGGGAATCCTACCGTCGTAATAATCCTAACCAAGTTTATAGTGATAGGAAGGCGGACGAGAATACCAACATGGACCCCCCCTCCTGTTGACAACAATACCGGGGGTGGTCCCTCGGATGATAACAATACGAAGAAGGACAACGTCAGTTCTTTTCGGAATCGCTCGAAGAAAGATACGAACGAGGATAAGAAGATGAGAGACTTGGAAAGCAAAATCAACGCTCTCATGTCTGCTCGAGAGGTGAGGAAGACCGATATTTCGTGTCCTTATCCAAAAAAGTGGGATTCGATACCGTATCCGACGAAGTTTAACCTGATTAACTTCACGCCATTCGACGGGAAAGGCTCATCCACCCAGCATTTAATATATTTTAAATTCCATTTGGGCATGATCTTTGGCAATGAAGTCCTGATGGTTCGGTCATTCGTTAGCACCCTTCGCGGATCTACCTTAGATTGGTACCGTCGTCTCTAACCCGAAAGTATCAACAGCTAGGAAGACCTGGAGAGCATGTTCCTCGCTCACTTCTTTGATGATGGTGCCAAGGTGTCAATCAGAATGCTCTTTGAGGAAAAATAGGAAGACGAAGAGACGGTCGACGACTTCGTCAAGCGCTTCCAGAATAAGACGATGAACTATTGAGATTCGATCACAGAGGACTTTATCCTCCAAACCTGTCATAACAACCTCTCTTTGGACTATTGGAAGTTATGGGAGTAGCACCATCCAATACCTGGAAAGAGTTGAAGATGCGTGGAGAGCGGACTGAACGCTTCATCAGAAGAAAGAAAGCCGAGAGAAGCCAACCGATAGCTAACCCTCCGAACTCGAACCTCGCGTCCCGTGGTAATGGGCAAGCCCATGTAGCTGCTGTTGATGCTAATCAGACGTCACAACAGCAACCCCGAAGACAGCAAAAGATTTCGGATCTGAGACTCCAAAAAGAGTACTCCTTCAAGGACGAAGATGTTCTAGCCATTTTCGAGTCTCTCCTTAAAAATAACAAGATCAAGCTACCACCTATCGCAGATCAGGAGGAAGCTGACAATACTGTGGATCCGAAGTACTGTGCGTACCACAGGAGGATCCTTCATCCTAACAAGGCTTGCTTCTCTCTCAAGAATAGCATCTAAACCTTGGTTGAAGCCAGTGTCATAACGCTTAATTAAGTCGAATGAAGACTCCGACAAGTATAAGAGTATAAATTGCTCCTTCCGGCACTCCGAAGAGTATAAGAGTGTAAACTGCTTCTCAATACTCCAACAGGTGTATGAGTCTAAACTATTTCCTTTCTTTCACAGGAAGTTCCTGAAGAGTGCCATGCCTAGTATTCTTAAGGATAACCCGATCATCCAACTAAGTACAATGTTAAACCCGATTTCACAAAGAAAGCTGGGGGTGGATAATTTATATAATGGGAAGTTCCTAGAAGAATGTTACATATAATATTCTTAGGGATAACCCGGTCACTAAAACAAGAAGATGAATAAGAAACTCCCACACAAACTCCCGCTACGTCAGTGCACTCAACACTCCCATTGTTAGAGTCCAGACATAGTACTCAGAATTTTAGTTTCCTGATCATTGACAATTGTCAAACCCCTTCATGTTAAGTATTTGTAACTTAACATCAGGGACTCTCTTCGAGTGATTTGTACGAATCAACACTCCCATTATAATTTGTACTCCCACTCTCACTGTTCATTTGGTCAAACATTCCTATA